AGCAATCATACGTTATTTACGACCATGTTTTATAAGATAAAAAAGTTAATGGCTGTAATTGGTCTTGGATGGGATGAGTCAAGGCAGATGATTACCGCTGATGTTGATATATGAGATGATTTTCTAGTGGTATGTAAATACTCATTTGTAAATATTTTTAAATGTTTGACTATGTTTTGAATTATGTAAACACCCAAGACAAATATCACTCACGTGAAATAAATGTCTTATATATACAAGAGAAAGAATGGCCAAATAGATATCATAACAAGAGCTTTCCCAACTATACGGGGCTAGAAAAGATATTTGCAGGTGGAATGTCATATGACACTTATACATTAGGTGTGGAATGGAGGGGGGGGGGGGGGGGGGGGGGGGGGGACTTAGAAATGACACACAAGGGCCCAACACTACTTCTTCTGATGTCTCCCATAGAAGTCCAAAATAAATCCAGCTCATCCTTGACTAATGGGCTAGTATCATCTGGGTAAAAGGGGCACCAGTCCTAGACTTTGATAGGGAAACATCACCGAACAACATAACCCACCCCCACTGACACGATGGCTATAGCTATGACAGAGATGGCCAAAAACATGAAGCTACTAACAAGTAAAAATACACCTAACAACAATACTTCAGTCGTGGATGGTACTTCTAAGGCCAAGAATGATTTCATTAAGCTTGTTGAAGTCATGTGGAAAGAAGGCAAAATTGATGATGAAGTGCTTTTAAAGGCAACTAGGATCTTCTAGGATTTCGCAAAGGTGGAGATATTATTAAATCTGGAGGAGCGAAGGCACCAAAAAGGCTTTCTTGGATCTTGAGATGCAATGCCTCCCATAGATCTTGGATTGTTTATGTTATAAAGTTATTCTTTTTTTGGCTAGTGACCTTTTTATTTTGGTACTATTGGGTTTTTTGTGACCTTTTTTTGCTTTATGGATGTCATCTTTCATGAAGTGGATGATGGATTAGATAATGTTTTTTTTTTTTTAATAGATGAAGCAAGGTTGTTGTTAGTGACCTAATCTAATTTAATATAGATGAAAAGATGATTATTAGCCTTGTCATTTGTAGTCACAAATCCCAATATTGTCGGTTGTTGGTAATATTTAGTGCTGCATATGCAATGTATTGCATAACATATTGGAATATCATGACCAAACGAGGAGGGAGTGTGTTCATACTTCATTTTTTACTAGGGTCAATTTTGACAAATACTTACTGCCAGGGTACCCTAGCAAGTGCTTCCACAAGTTATGAATGGGGAAAATTGCTTTTATCGATCTATGTAATTTGTTACAGGAGAGGTCACTGATTACAAACACATGATTGTTGGCAATTGAGGAGCAAGTAGCCATATGTTTAAACACCCGATCAGAGGAATAGGGTGGTCCAGAAATGGTTCCAACATTAAGAGCAAACCATAAATTTCTTGTTCAATAAAGTTTTAAAAACAATCTTATAAATTGAAACCATTGTTTCTACAACCACCAAGTAATGAACACATGTGCACATCGCTAGTGATATATTGCGATTTTACCCATATTTCAAGGTTAGTGATTGTCATGGAATCTATATTGTCGTTCTCACGTACAAGTGAAAACTAAAATTAATAAGAGAAGGAAACTAAAATAGGAAGCCCTAGTTGAAAATGATTTTTTATTTTAGAGGTGAAAGGTTAAACTGAAGGTAAAAAAAAAATGGACGAGGTGCTTGGGTCCTAACTCAGCCACGCAGCCCCTTCTCAAACACAAGTAGAATTGAATGAGAAAAGCTAGGCATGTATCCAAGGGTGATCATAGATATCATGCGACGCAAGGCGTCTGCACCAGGTGTTATGGACCATGAAGTCGCCATAAAAAAGGCATATAAGGCATATTGCTTAGGGTCCAAGAGGCCTGAATTTTTCTTTTTTAACTCAAACTTAATACCTGGAAGTAAAAAAAAGGGAAATAACAAAAAAAAAAGAGAAATAACAATGAGACAACAAAAGAAAGAAAAGCAAGTGCTAGAAATGTAAAAGCTAATGACCTCCAGGTGGTTTGATTTTTTTCCCGTGAACTAGAGTTTAACTTTTACTTCCTCTCTTTTTTCTTTTTCTTTTTTTTTTAAATGGTACCCCTCAAGAGGAGATCTGGGGCTTTTGTTTTAATATGAAAAAAAAAAAAATGAAAATCTCAAGATGCTTTTAATGGTTTAATTATACAGATTGAAGCTCGAGAGCCCCATGGTGGGTACCAAACTGTTTACACTCATATTTGCGCGATCTGAAAGAGAGATTAATCCAAATCTTTGTAAAACTGAATTAAATTTAAGAAAAAGTAGAGAATGTGGGGTTGCTCAAATTATGAGCTCAAAAACAACACAGATCTATTCAGATTTGATTTTTTTGAGTCCACTGGCAGTGCCAGCTTCAAGATCTATGTATATTGTTTAAAGACACTTCTAAATTTTACTAACCTAATTAATAATAGAAAATTATAGGAAAGCAAACTAAATTAATGAAGAAAATAAAATTAAATTAAATAGAACAAGAGATACTTACATTAGGGACCCGAAACTTGAAGTTTCAGGCTTGGATCATTTCGCCCTTCTTGTGCTACCATCTCCTATTGGATGTATCTTGTTTGCTGGAATTGGTAGATGTAAAGGTCTTTTACCTAGATCTAGGTTTCCTAAGGCTTTTAAAAAAGCTAGGAATTCTTAGGTAGGGCCGACCTAAGCTTCTCTAGAGTTAGGAAGAGGTTTTTCTTAGTTTTCTAAGGTTTTGAGGATCTCCTAATATTAAATCCGAATTTTTGGAGTTTTTGGGATTTTTTTTTTTAATTTTTTAGGAATTTTCTAAAGCTTTATCCTATTTCCTGATATTTATTAGGTATTTTCCTAATTTTAAATTTCTAGCTATTTTTTTTTATGAATTTCATATTATTTTGTAGTGATCTTGGTCTTTTTTTTTTTAGTTTTTTTTATGGGATACTTATAGGTTGATGTAGGGTTAGGTTTGAATCTAGGTCAGTTCAATCCAAGGGTTTAGATTGAGTAAAAAAATTAAAAATTCTAGATTTTATCAACTTTTGAATAATTCAACCCTATTTGAAAAAGGAATGGGCCAGGCTGGGCATGGCCCATCGAGCTGTGTGAGGCACGGTGCTTCATGCGGGTCCGATGCACTACGTGGCACAGCTTGGGTAGGGGCATTTTGATCATTTTTTCGCTAGTCCTATCGAGGCTTCCAACTTTGAATATGGGGGTCCAATTTGTACGATTTGTGGACCGTTGGAAAGCTCTCGTGATCTAATTTGATTTGGGATAGGTTTCGGGTAGTTTTGAGATAATTCTATTGGGTTTAAGTGTACTATGGTTTATTAGATTTGTGTAGTCATTTGGACTCAGAATCAAGATTTTAGAAATTCTCTTAACCAGAATTTCGAGGGGGTGTCTACCTGTCTATATACCCTAACAGCCTGTTTCCAAGAATTTTACAATTTTTATAAGAGATGGTAAAAAAGTGTAGTTGTTACCATTTAGTTTTACAGTGACCAGGGAAAAAGATTCAGATTTTTCATTTATTTAAATAATAGAAAAAAGTGGTTTGTCACTATCTACAAAAGGTCGTCTATCATTTGCTAAAATTACTACCACTTTTCCCGAAATGTAGTGCAAATAAAGTGAGAAAAGAAGTCTTCTTTTAAGGAGGGTTACAGTAAAATAAAAATAAAAACAAAAAACACACGAGGAGAAAAAAAAAAAAGAATAGAGAGAGAGCCAAGCAGAAGGGCGGACCAGGAGAGACACTGGTTCTCTCTAAAAAATCAATTTCATTCAGATTAAGCGCTTTAGTACCACTCTTTGTCTCTCTAGATTGCATCTACTCCGTTCTCTCACTAGATATTTCCAAGGAGTGAGATCTGACAAGAGAACCAATGAGCAAATACGAGATAGTCAACGATTGAAGGCCCTTCATATCTGGATCATCTGGACGAGGGACTTCAACATCCCACACGAAAAGAATCACATAATCATAGAGATTGCCCTAAGAAAATTACCAGATATGTAAGAAAACATGTGTCAAAATCAGATCTATGATGAAATATGGTTTCAAAATGTATTTTTGGTTTCAAAAGAGTGGTTTTTTATGGTGGTTTTTCAGTAAGCAATTTCAAGAGTGGTTTTTCTATCGACAATTTTTTAATAGGTGGTTTTTAGGAGTGGGTCTGAACGGCTTTTTAGAGTGGTTTTTAAAAGGTCGGTGGTTTTGCATTGAACGGTGGTTTTGTATTGTATTTTCTCATAGTATTTTTGTAGAGCAGTTTTAAAAGGTGGTTTCTATTTCGGGTGACAGGTTTGATCGGCTAGGCTCTAATACCATGTAAAAAATCAATGTATATTTCTACTAAGTGAAATTGTACACAATACCCTTATTTATGTTGGTTGCAAAATCGTATACATGTTATACAGGTTGTTATAGAGAAATATATAAAATGAATCATCCTAGTACGTTTACGCAAGAAAAGAAGGAAAATATTGTACGGAAAAAGAAAAAACGAGTACATTACTGTAGATTCACACCCCTTACATGTACTCATCACCTCTTCAAAAAAGCATTTTCGCCCTGTGAGAGAGACACACTCTATTCTTGGTCCCCAAAAGAATGTACACTTATATTTATTCAATTTATAATATCTAATGTATTTATAATATCTAATAGTTGAATATTAGAATAATAGAATTAGAATAGAAAAATATTCAAATAGAGAAATATTCGGGGTTTAAAGGAATATAAGTTAAAAGAATTAAAATAAAAGAATGAAAATATTCTCGCTAGGCTCCAAGTCAGTTATGACATTGCTTTGTCTGACTTTTCCTAAAAGAAATCTAGACCCAAATTGAGAAAAAGCCTCCATGTGTTTTGACTTGTTTCTTTTAAGAAAATGTGTCATGAGTTATTTAATTTTCATAAAAAGATACCACAATTACTATCGACCGTTAGACGTAAACTTAGGTGGTTGGAGATATATCATTGACCAAACATAAACTCCAAATAAAACTTCTCGAATGTTGGAACACATTTAAAAAATGGGCTCAATATACCGTCATCAATTCTATTCCTACTACGGGTAGAAATAGACTACCAAGAAAAAACAGAAGTTTGCAACTCATTGAAGGGCCAAAACATTTGTATTCCAATTTTGTTGAGAAATTAAAAAAGATTACAACAACAAGGGAAAATCAAGCAGCTTTGCAAGGGAAAAATAAAATAAATCCCCGAAAGTCATTCTAAATAAGCTCCTTGCTAGGATTTTGCACATACACATTTGTGGTCTGCATAGGATAACGAGGATTTGTGAAAACTCTTCCCTAAATTAAAAAAAAAGTATGATGCCTTCTTCTGATCTTCACCAATTCGATGAAAGTGCGCTTTTCTTTCTCTCTCAAAGGCATTCTTTATCTTCCAAAAAAAAAAATGAAGATTCTCTTTTACCAAAAGCTTCACTTTTTCACTTTTTATTCAAAAGAATAACTGAATGTCCATTATTCATCTTCCCATGGTTTATGGACAAAACAATGAATTTTTAGTTAAAACCCTGCCCTTGAAGTAAGTCTTCTTCCTTCAAACTAACTGAAGAACTACTCCTCTAGCGATTCCTTTCACATAGAAATCGCCTCTTCTTTTCTCCAAATCTCACTCCTATTTGTGTACATTCATGTCCTATACAAAAAATAATAAATAAAAGAAATTCCCCTACCTATCTTTTCTTTGCATGTCCTATACATTTCATCTATAACCAAACAAATGCTTACTCTGCTCAAGGATGGCAACGTGCCAGGCCGGGCCAGCCTTGGCCCGGCCCTTTTTCCCTATATGACTGGGCCGGACGGGGCAAAAAAAAATAAATAAAAATAAAAGAACAACAACAAGTGAAAAGGAGAGAGGCTGACACAGACCTGAACTTCGCCCTTGGGCCGCAGTTCGTAGCCCAAGCCCAAACCCTACTTTTTGAGGATCGGGTCGACCGGGCCACCGAGCCCATTGCCAGCCCTAATAAATTTCAGCTCACCATCTCCCCTTTGTTCACCTAGGACCCCACTCCTAGAGAGAAAATGTTGTTCCTTGGACACCCACCAAACTCTCAAGCTCTTATCAAGGCTCCCACTATACAACAAAAAGCCTTGACCCACCTTAAGTGAAGAGGCTTGCAAGCACCTCACAGGTCCCTCATGCCCCCTCACAACCCCTACACTGCAAAGCCCTCCCCCAAACCCCCTCCTCCAAATCCTAATACTCCTATCAGCTGACCCACTACACAGTATCTCTCCTCCAGCCAAGCACAAGCACAAAACAGCCACGGAATGTGCCCTAAAATCACAAACAAGGTTCCATTCATCAAGCCCACCTTCCCAGCCCATAACATTCCCATCTGACCCACCACCATAGACCCATTTCCCTTGCTCACAAACCACAACTGCATTCATGGACATCTCTTTATGCCCTTGTAAGACCCCACAAAGGCTATGGGCCTTTCCCTTCTTCCCCCACACTTTGATTTTCCCGTCGGCGGAGGCCGAGTACACGAGCCCACCGTGAGCGACAAGCCCATTGATCGCGTCATCATGAGCTCGAATTGACTCTATGCACCTGAGATCTGATGATTTCCACACCTTTAAGGTTTTGTCCCACGAGCCCGAGTAGATAAGCCCTTGGCTCACTGCTAAACACGAGATACTATCTGCGTGCTCAATCCACAAATGCTTGTGGTTCCTTCTCGACTGCACATAGTTGCTCTGTTTCATGAACTTAGACAGATAATCCTTGGGCGTAGGCATTGTCGCAATGAGCTTGAACACATTCTCGGGGTCTCTCGAAATTTTCCAGACTCTGATTCGACTGTCTTGGTGAGCGGTGAAGATCCGGGTCCCAACCGTGACAAGGGCCTTGACAGCACCGTCGCCATGCCCGAACCGAGTGAAATGACGCAGGTCAGGCTGCTGCCAAACGCGGATGTCTTTGCCTTGGGACGCGCTAAGGAGGAACTCCCCACAGAGGGCGAGGCACGAGACGGATCCCATGTGGCCCGAGATCACAGCGATGGAACGGTAGGAGACGCTGGCTTCGGGAGATGGATTTCGAGATGGAGTTATCTTGAAGTGAGTAGTTGAGAGGGACTTTGCGAGCGAGATTTCCAAGTGTTCTTCTTCATCTTCCTCTTCCTCTTCCTCTTCTGATGAGTGTTTCTGTTGGCGTTTCTTTAAAGGGGAATGGAGGAGAGGGGTTTTGGGGGAATCAGAGAGGGGATGTTGGTTACAGAGGGAAAGAGCCATGCGGCGGTGGGTGATTGGGGAGGAGAAGGGGATTGAAGGAGGGAAGGGTGGTGCCATTTTTGGGCCGCTCGAAAACAGAGTGCTGAGATTAAGGGATGAGAGAGAGAGAGAGAGAGAGAGAGAGGTTTGGTCTATTTGAAGCAGCGGTTTATGTAGAGGAGGAAGAAGCCGTTGAGAAGCATTGGAGGGAGGGACCGCGCCTCACTCATTCATTCACCTTACATACATTTATTCCTTTATTTATTATTGGTTTAACGACTAACTTTTTCTTCTTATTTTCGTTGGGTTATTATTTATTATTTATTTATAAAAAATGGTTTACTCGTTGAAAATTGTAATTCAAACATATTGAAAAACCTTTACATCCATCATCTCCATCTCACCTTGAACATTATGGTTGTGAAAAATATTTTAAAAAAAACATTACGGTTGTGAAAAAAAATTAAGATTTTAAGTTCTAAAAATAATTATATTTTAATAAATTATATAGACCATCTATTTCGCCCTAAAAATAAATGTTCAAAGATTTGTATGATTTTTTTAGTTTCTAATTTTATGATTGGTGTTGTAAATTGATTTTAGAGCCATCATAGAAATTTTGTTGCCAAAAATTCTTTTCTAATGAGGATTTGAAGCAAGGCTCTATTTGGTTTTCATAAAGCCTAGGCCTTGTAGAAACTTCATCCTCTATTTATTCACTCCATCTTGCTTGTGTTTTTTTCAACGAAGAGAGGCCTAACGGCTACTTTGAAAACCAAAAGGAGAATTGGAGCTCCTTTTGTGGGGACCAAACCCAGCTCTCTGTCTCTCCTTTCATGTGAAGTAATGAAGTCGGTGATGAGAGAGAGAGATAATTAGTATTCTATATATTTACTTTATATTTTCTCCTTAATTGGTTGTATTATATTAACTTATTGTATTGAAGTATTATTTTATGTATATTAACGTTTTTTGAGGCTGTCCAACGCGGAGATGAACGGCGCTGGGGACAACATGCGGGTGCTCGGTAGGACCCATCTTCACGATATGGACGGCTCAGCATCATTGCTTCTTGAAATCCCAACCTTTCATTCGAAAGTGATAAAAGAAATGCATCTCTCTCACTTGAAAGTTTGGACCTTTTTCCTTTAACATTCTCTAGAAACTTTTGGACTTCGAGTTAGAGGGTGTAGATGCTCTAAACCTGCTCCCTCATGTAGGCCATAGGTTGATTCTCCAGCTCTCAAAGTAGAAATGAGGAAAAGGCTATATTTATGTAGCCATGCTTTAGGAGCAATACAAAGGAAAAAGTTTATACAAGGATGCAACCTTATAATGTAGAACTACGGATGCACATTAAAAATCCATCGACAGAGGTAGTTTTAATGTTAAAAAACCTTTTGATTGTTCATCTCAACATCGAGATGTATAACACTGAACAATAAAAAGATTTTAAGTCTCAGAAATAATGCTATTTTCC